CACACACACACACACACACACACACATATATATACATACATATTATATATATATATTATATAACAATAATTTCTGTCTCTGTTATATATACAGGTATGACTACTATGCATCTATGCCATAGAAATAAATTAAGAAAACAAAATACAGAGAGATGCAACAAATGACAGGAGTGATACTGATACTGCTTTGTATTCAAATCTGCTTCCAATCCTGAAGGTGGTAATCACAGCACTATTAACTCAAAGTTTAGGCTTGGCAACCTGGGATTAGTTAGATCTTAGCAGAACGTCTTTAAAGCCTGGAACATGTACGTTTTATAGATACTATCAAAACTTAACCAAAACACTTAATTTGGTTCACTTAATAATACGTATGATGTTTTTTTTAACCTACTGTTGCCTTTCCACTCTTCAGTTCTGTGTTGCTACTTCCTTCTCACCCCTCAAATCCTCTTCTTCATTAAGGCCTGGCCTGATCATCCCATCTAAAGTAGCCCCTTTTCACTCTATTATTTTACTATACATACTGTTTTTCTTTTAACAATTACATAACATGTTATCTGCTCTTTTATCATTTGCCCCCAAAAAATAGACCAGAACTTTGTCTATTTTACTGCCACATGAGTGCTACTTGCTAAGTACCTTGAGTGATGGTTTGGGATTTAGCTCAGTGGTGCCACCACCTGCCTTACAAGCGCAAGGTCCCAAGTTAGATACCCACAACAACAACAAAAAAAAAAAGTTTAAAAAATCTAGGTCTTGGAACTATTATAATCTGGAATCTGGTGCTCTTTACAAACAAAAAGAAACTGATTACATAATCATCTTAGGACACAAGTTTGGGATGGTGCCAGATGGAGTCTTCCATCTCCCTGCTTTGCACTACAAGGAGCTTTCCAAACCGACCTCTTACTTCCTTTAGTCTCACTTTTATTCCCACGGGATGTATAAATATTGTTGAACACATGGCAAAACTAAACGTTCACTCCTTTGCCATAAACTGCTTTGTTGTTTTTTCATCAACTTTCTTGGAGAAACCCACCAAGACACTGTGCGCTGTGCGCTAATGAGGCTTGTGTCTCTGCTGTGGCCCTGAGAGAAGGAAATTTTGCTACAGCTCTATTCTGCTCCACAGCATGGCCTGACCGTCTCTGTCTGACTGCTGACACAGCCAGCACAACTGCCACATTCACTACACTGAGTAGATTCAAACCCTGAAGAGTAAACTGAGAGGCCCTAGCATCTCAAACATCCAAAGAAGGAACCAATGCAGTGAATGCACACATCAGTAGGTAAGTTAATTTTCCCCAAAAAGTTAAGTCTAAACTCAGTTGTCCATAAAAAATAATTCTACCAAAAGAGAAGGATCACGCAAGTTCCATCACAGTCCCAAGTCACAAATCCACAGGCATAAATCCCTTGACATGGACTTAGTTTACCAATTCAGAACCACTAGCAAGCTCAAAGGTAACTAAACCATTATGTCTAATATGACATTTCTCCTTACAAAAAATAAGAGGCCTTGAAGTCTTTTTAACCTCCTAGAATATTCCATTGGTGTAGAGTATCAAAGCCAAGGTTCTTCCCTTCAGCCAGCTGCACTCCACTTTCGACAGTTCCCAGCTTGAAGGCGTGGCCCCGTGGACAGAGTAACAGGCCATCTCTATCTAATCCTCCAGCACAGTGTCTGGCTCATCCCTGGGTCAGGACACTTTTATTACTTGGAAGTTAGCTATTTAATTCTGTGTATTTATCCATCTACTCCAGTGACAGTAAACCTTTTAGAGATGAGTACCCAAACTGCAAACCAAAACCCACTCATTTATGGCAAAGTGCCAATTAAATCTGAATGCTGAGGTTTCAGTTTAGAAAAAAGCTCGCACATTACCATCTTTTGCCCTAAAAGAAAAACACTGACACCATGCCACAGGTTCACCACCACTGATCTAGTCTGTCACTCTTGAAAGCAAATTGATGGAAGGCCAAGATCAAGCCAATCTATTAAAATTTAAGTCCCTAACTGGTCTGTATTTCCCAATCATAATGACAGAGTCTTGCTCCTGGACATTACAGGCTGATATAAATTCCTACCTTTGCAGACCATTTTTTACCATGATCAAGTTTCTTTTTTTTAGCCAATACATAAAAACATAACGTATATATTTATGAGCACCACGTGATGTTCTGATACACATATATATTGTGTAATGTTTAAAACCAGATAAACATACCTATCTCCTCATACTGGCCAAGTTTCTTTCTTTGGAGATGGGGATCTCACTGGGTTGCACTTATGTGTTACTCTGAAAATTGTGACACTGTTAAAAGTACAGTAGATGCTTACAAGTGTTTTAAAAATGACTGTCACATCCAAGGGGCTCACAATTAGTTGAGGTTCAGATCTGAGCAAGAAGGTGATAGCTTCAGGAGAGTGATATGTATTATTCATGCATGTTCATACACACACACACACACACACACAAAGGCAAGTCAAGTCATGTGGCTAAGAGGGATGCACTTCTACAATCTGTATCCTATTGTTTAAGATGGCAACAACCTTTAGCTTCACCAAAACTACCACAATGGAAGCAGAGGAGTGGACGGACCTTCTAACACTGTGTATAACATGGATCAATAAGGCGGTGTGTATTGAGCATTTTCTGGGGCCTGATAAATAATGTGACTATAAGCCAGAACCACCATTTGAGTTACCAATTAAATGTAAAGATAAAAGGAAGGTGCACGCATTTCAAATATAAATTTGGGAAACGTGACTTAAGTTGTCTAACCCCTATTGTTAAAAAAGTGTATTCAAAATGCATACCTTTACCAATTATCTACATCTTGCAAATTGCTTACCCAAATCAGACTATAAAGATTATCCTGCCTGAGAATTTTATTTTATTTATTTATATTTTTCGTACCAGGGAACAAACTCGGGACCTCGAGATTGCAAAGCAAGTGGCAGAACCACTGAGTTAAATCCCCGGCCCAAGAATTTTTTTAAAATCTCTTTATGATACAATCTCTGAATATAAATATATCGACACAATTTTCTTTTCTTAGTTTTTGACATTGTAAAATTTTGGATTAGATACTTAATTAAACATTTTACTGAAAACAGGGAAATATAAAGTTATTTCAGCCAGGCGTGGGGGCATACGCCTGGAATCCTAGCACTTGGGAGGCTGAGGCAGGGGGATCACTGTGACCCTGTCTCAAAAAAACCAAAATAAATAAATAAATAAATAAATAAAGTTATTTCAAAACCAGAACATGAAGGTATTCATATCCTTTACAAAAACTAGTATGAAAATTACATGACTGTTATGTGACTTATATAGACACATACTGAGAAAAACACAAAATGTTGACAACTATGTCAATATATCTGACTTAGAATAATAAAGATAATTATGTGAGAACAGTTAACACTATGGGTGTGCTTTCCTTCATAGCATTACTATATTACTTTTTAAATTAAAATATATTTATTTTGGTTTATGTTCATAAGCCATTACACAACTTAGCTATACTAAATAATACTAAAAAAATTCAATTTCTAAAAATACTGTATAGTTTTAAATTTCATAAAAGCACATACCTGAGCCAACCTCCTTTTCCTCTTCTTCAATGTTGTTTTTGATGCTATCATATTCTTCATCAATGGTCTGATTACCACGCATCTGAGATAAAATTCTACGAGCCTTCTGAGTCTGTCCTTTCTGAATAAGCCATCGAGGACTTTCGGGCAAGAAGAGAAAACCAAAAAACTGTATAATGGCGGGAATTGCTGCAAGCCCCAACATGTACCTGCAAGAGGAGAAGTTCACATTTATTGTAAAATTTGTTCTAATATCACTTAGCATGTGCTTACCACATACTTCTGTGTTTGGACCAAAGTAGTATCTAATGCTTGGTTAAAATGTTTTATTATTTATACATATGCATGCAACAGAAAGGGTGTTTTACGCTGTACTGAAAATATTAAAATGAAAAAATGTTAACATCATTTTTCTTATACAAATTACACCGAAAAATAGTTGCAGTTGTTACATATACACATTCTGAACCAAACGTATTATGCAAACAGCATACTGACCACCCTATTTAATACTAATATACACAATACAATCATGTTTTTTTACATAGTAAAGTTGTATGGAATAATGTGGGGCATCCACCAAAGGCCTGTGTACCATCCTTCTGTAGCATTCAGAGCTGGTGGAACTCTGAAGAAGTAGAGCCTAGCAAGAATTGAGGACCCTGCGGAGCACCATCCTCGATGGGGATGCAGGGATTCCAGCCCGTTCTGCCTCTCTCCTTCCGCTTCCCAGCCACATGAGGTGTGCAGCGTCATCTATAATATGTGCCCCACCATGATGCATTCATTCATTCCAGGCCCAAAGGCACCAGGGCCAAGTGACTATGGACTGAAACCTCTGAAACTGAGCCAAAGCCAACCTTTTCTTCTCAGCAGTTAATTATCTTAGGGTATCTGTCAAAATAATGAACAGCTAACTAGCCCAGTAACTAAGAAAAACATACCTATTAAAAGACACAGTATTCATAAAACCAAGTATCCAAACTTGTTTCTTTGTAGTGGTTACATTTTTTTTATTATACATCAGGTTTACCTCCACTAATGAGAATGTCCATACAAACAAGTAGCAAATAATGCTAATTAAATTGCTACAAATAGAAAAAATTGCTCATGTTCTTTTAAATTAACCTTCATTTTCTTTGAGGGTCTATTCCTTATGGATAGAAAAATGATAAATAGTAGATAGACACATTATTGTAAATTAATTAAAGAAATAACAAAAATAACAATAGAACTACAGATACAGCAATACCTTAGATCTCTCCAAATTATTATGAGCTTCAGACTGATCTACATCTCTCAGACTTGATTTTTTTTAAATGAAGGGGTTAGGTTAGATAAACTTTAAGGTCTTTTTCAAATGGAAATGTCTATGAAAGTAGGATACCTCGATATCTTGTGCTAATTCAAATTCCCTGGGTGTGTTCCAAAGTAGATTCATGATGACAAAGCCCAGCCAGTCAATCCCATTTATGTAAAAACCATATTTACAAACACTTAGTTGTATGTTACCAAAAAGTCTCTAACTCAATGCCATTTTCAAAGCTATTCTACTTTTTAGGCTACATTAAACACAAAATATAGCAGCCTTAAAGGTTCCCGAGATATATTTCATGAAGTAAATCTACTCTCTAGGCAATTTCATTTTAATTCTAACAACATATTTTCATGTGGGTTTTAAGAATATCACTTACTACAAATAAAACATGTGAAAAGATTCAGAAATTAAACAAGTATTGATGAATGAATGACACAGTAATTGCCACTTTAATCCATGACTTGTAATCATTACACCAACACTGAATCACTCTTTGTCCTCCCTCAGAACAGATTCTTAACATCAGTTTAATCACACACTTTTCTAGCTTGATTTATTTCGCTGTATCTTATACTGTAATAAATTATTTAACCTATTCCACTCAATGGTCCGGCACCTAGTATTTTGCATACCACAGGCACTCAGAAAATCTTTGACGCAATTATATGAAAGCAACTATATATATCTAACCTTTCTCCAATAACTACTTCAGAATCATTTACTGACATTTTATGAAGCAATTCTTATGAATTGTTTAGCTCTGTAAGAGTACTTACACAGAAATTCTGTCCAACTAAATCATTTGTTACTCTAGACACAATCAGGCCTAGCAGAGAAGGATAGCTCACAGATGTATATATTTTTGGATGCTCCTCCTAAGATGTTAACTTACAGAATAACATCCACTATTTACATGAATGTTTTATTGCTATAAATGAATAAAATTTCAATCCAAATTAAAGTCTCTGGAAGAATTTAAAACAAGTAGGCTAAGGGTGTAGCTAACCAGTACTGCACTTGCCTTGCAATACTCAAGGCCTTAGACCTGAATCCCCAACACTGTGAGGGAGCCCAACCTGAGTGACTTAGGAGTACCACATCTCAAAAGAAAAGTTTTTGTTTTGTTTTGTTTGTTTTAACAGTGCTGGGGATGTAGATCCACTCAAAGACCCTGGGGGATTTAATCTCTAGTTTATGTCTGTGTGAATGAGAGAGGGGAGAAAAAGAGGGAGAGAGGGAATTCATAAAAGGCAGATAGAGAACTCTTGAATATGAAAATTTTGATGTTTCATTTCTCTACTTGTCATGATTAAAAATTAAGATTAAAGAGCAACAGAGAATACTTCAAAAAAGCACTTGAAACGGAATCATTTTCAGGCCCAAGTATGATCACATAATACTTTGTACTTTACTACTGACTACTAAATCTCAAGAAACTATATTTTAAAAATTTAAATAGAGGCAAAGAAAAAAGAAAAATGTACACACACATATTAATCTATGCTTTTGAAGCCAGCTATAGGAGAGAGACTACTTTAGACCTAGAGCTTTTTGAAACAAGTAAATCCCAAGAGTGTAGGGGCAAAATTTATAATTCTATGCAATGCACCAAGACACTACTGAAAGGAATGTGCATGCTGCTGCCAATCTTTAAGGATATTAAAGCCTCTTTGCAAACACTAGTCAAGAAAAAAAGTTTTATGCACCTACCTCCTAACACTTCTTTTCTAAAAGTAAAGCAAGGGACTTTAATCTACTTTCCAAGACAAAAATATTTTGATAGGAATAACTTTCATGGCTTTGTAGACTTCAAATACATAGGACAGGGGGTTGGCTATGATATACAACAGCAAGAGCAGAGGAACAGATGTGGTCTCATTTCATGTCAGAGTTTGGATAAGTGTCCCTCAAATGCTCATATGCTGAGCTGTGGTTACCACATGGAAGAGAGGGTAAAAACTTGAAGAGGGGGTACTTTTGAGGATGAAGTTAGGACTCAGCTATTCCTTGCTGTCTCTGCTTCCCAGCTGGCCATGAAGTTGACAGATTCCCCTGCCATGTGCTCCATCCACACACAAAAAAGCAATGGGCCAATCAAACATGCACTGAAGTTCCCAAAACTGTGGCAAAATAAACCATTTTTGCTCAGGATGGTGGTACGGACCTGTAACCCCAGCTACTCAGGAAGCTGAGGCTGAAGGATCTAAAGTTGGAGGTGTAGAAACCAAATTAACTCCATTCTAAGACAGAAAGCCATCTCATGTAAGATGTGACTCCTAGGTGAACTGTGGGAATTCCCTGGGTAGCAAAAGAAAAGGCAAGGCCAGATGGCTGGGAAAGGGGACCATAAAACTGAGGGAATTAGCTTAGCAAAAGAAAAGACAGGATGTTCTGTATAGATAAGGGAAACACTCTACATTCCTGAGCACACTAACCTCCCCCTGAATTAGCCCACTAACCCTAGCCCCCTCCCCACCCTGATAAATTTTCTTCCTGCTCTCACAAGTGCCCCAGCAACACCCAATAGAAATGAGAAATAGAAAATAGCACCAATAAAAAAAAAGAGGATTTCAAGCCTCCCAAGCCCTATAAATTTATGCTTTAGAAGGGGATCAGGACTCTCGTTTCAGATCCACTTGGTAGGTGAGGTATGAGGGTCCAGGCTAGAGCTTGCAATAAACTCTTTGTGCATCAGACTCGACTCCTTGGTGGTCTTTGGGGACTTCGCAATCTGGGCACAACAGAGGCCAAGCTGGACAAGTTAACAAGACCCATTCTCAAAGTGATCAATAAAAAGGGTTGGGAATGTAGCACAGAGACAGAGGCTTGCCTACCAAGTGCAAGCCAATGAATTCAATCCCAAGCACTACAAATATATACTCACACACACATTTATGTTTATATCTGTGTGTGTATACACACACACACACACACACACACACACACACACACACACACACACACACACACACACACACACACACACACACACAGGTATATACATAAATGCACAAACTGATCCCCTAAGTTGGTATTCTCAGGTATTTTGTTACAGTAGCAACTGACTAATACACTTCAGATCTGGGATACTAGCCAAGAGGCCCTAGTCAAGTTACATTTTAATACATGGGAACAATGTCTATTTTACTGAATTGCTAGGAAAATTAAGTAAAATTTAAAAAGGGGGAAAGGGTTTGGGATGTGCAAGGACCCCAAGTTCAATACCCAGTACTAACAAAATAAAATTAAATTAAAATTTAAAAGAATAAAATAGCCAGATGAATGGCAAAGAGCATTGTGACAGGTTAGAGCAGGCAGCCCCTAAAGACAGAGGAGATCTTACTACTGTAAACTATATCAAGGCTTCTAAACCCTCCCTTCACATTAAAATCACCCAGGGAGGTTTAAAAGCACACCAGAGTCCAGCCCCACCCTCCCCTGTGGACTCCGATTAATTGGTTTGGGCTCTGGGCCCAGGTAATTCTATTTTATTAAGAGCTCTCCAGGTGGTGCTAATGTGCCCAGAACAACAGATGTAAATGTTTTAAAAACCCAAGAGGTGAAAATGAACAACAAGCACCCAAAGTCCACACCTTAAGGAAAAAGCCATTGATCTTGTGGCTTCAAAACAGTACACCAGGCTTGACAAAGGGAAGGTGAGCTGAAGCAAACAAAAATGCCAGGCTTTCATGAATTCATAAAATCTTTAGAATATTCTTTAGCATCACAATCCCAAAACACTTTTTAAAGTCTGCTAACCATGAAGTTAACAAACTATTTTTCTGATACCACTAGCAGTACCACCACCTGCTGACCAAAAAATTAAGGAATGGGTCCTCTAATAGGGAGCTACCACAACTAACCCAGGTGCCTCACAAAACCACAAGGGGC